GTGATTTACATTTGAAAAACCTCAGGCGCACTGACTTGCTCAGAATGCTTGGCACATTTAACTTTAAATTCTCCAGACCAAAGACACTGTTGCTAATCACATGATTCGGGGCAAGCTCTTGCATAGTTACGTAAGAGACGCTCAGCACCAATACATTGTTCACAATGGGTGAGAATGGCACAAAGACACCAGACCATGCCGGAGCTGGGAGTTGCAAGCGTAAAGGCTTGCCCTGAATCACGTGATATAGTATCAGTCTCTTTGGTCGGGAGAATGTAAAGTTAAAACGTGCAAAGCATTGGATTAAGTCAGCGTTCCAGATTTTATTCGAATTTAACTCGCAAAGAGCTTATTGTATAGCACGTGCCAATTAACACGATTTCCCACTAACATACCCCAAGCATTAAGCACACACACACACAAGCACACACCCACTTGTTTCACATGACTAGTGTGGACTTTCCATTGCTTTTGTGTAGTTAAGAAAAACCAGTGAAAAAACTCATTTTTCTCAAACTGTGAAAACTCTTTCAACCCAATTTTTTTTCTATGATTCCCTTTAGTGTTTCTCTTCATTCTGCTACAGATAAACCTAACCCAAAAATGCCTCTAAACCTGTTTTCCAGAAATGCGGAAACACTGTGTGGACGTGGGGTAAGTCCACACAACGTCGGTGCTACCTACATTATGTGGACGTCTTTTGTTCGGAAGTCCACACTGCGTATGTAAGACAAACTCGTGTGTAAATGCCGGCAATCGTGGACGTCCCATTGTCCCTAATCCTCTTTCCTTTGTTTGTACTCTTAACTTTTAAGCGACAGCTCTCATTGGTTTTGTACACGATTTGAGATTGTGGATGTTCTGTCAATCGTGGACGTATTGTTTGCGCCCAATTCTTTTGTCCTACGTCCACGATTGCCGGTGTTTACATACTCATACTCACCCTTACATTTACCTCAGAATGGCCAATGGTGTGAAACACAAGATATCCATGCGCCTGCAATCGTTTGCACATCCACGCTTCGAAATTGTGCTTACGTTTAGTACAATCTTCTGCAATACTAGTTAGCACGTCTTATCTGCTAATGCTGTTAACCTGTGCCATGATATTGGTACCTAAAATGCACAGCAGCAAGATATATAACTCTAAACAAAGTATTATTTTGGTTGACTCATAAGCCTGTCTTTAGAAAAGGATGAAATTAATTTCCAGAATTGATCAAGAAATGATTTTTGCCAATGCTTTGTGAATTAGTTGTAAATAATTTAACAGACAAATTTGAGTTTGTTCAAATAAATTGAACACTAGGCCCCCTTTTTCATGTTGGTTTTATTTGGTTGGGAAAATGTGTGAAGTAGTTATGAAAGTGTTCTGAGCGTAAAAAGTGTAAACGTCGCATCTGGAATACTTAACTTTCGTGTTTGTGTTTTGTGCAAAATTTATGTCTTGAGCTTTTCATTAAAAAGAGATATCCTTTTATGTGGAATTGCCACTTTCTGAATTAAAAATGTTCACCCACTGTTAATAACGCGCAAGTCTATTGGCGTAGTGTGTGAAATCATTTTATTCAGAATGTGCTAAAAGCAAACCAACTGCTCTTTGTGTTGGTTAGAGGAACGTACCCGAGCGTTTGGGCTAGCTAGTAAATCAAGATTTGTTTTTCTGTTAATATTTTGTTGTTTGCATTTTGTAGAGTGTAAGGAATGATATATACATGTATTTACTCAGAAAATGAAACAAACAAACGTAGCCTAGAACAAAGTAGCCTTGTTACATGTAAATTATAGTTTAAAATACTGTTGAAATGGTCCTAAAGACACGTGCTACACTAAAGGAAAAGTGGATAGGATGGGTTGCCATGGTGATGACAATGACTTCATAAAGTGTCCCCTCCTCATTTTTCTGCATAACGCTGCCAACGTGTGCCTGAAATGGATTGATTGTCCAGATCCAATATTCTTGAGTTGCATATTGACTTCCTTGCAGTTAGTTTCTTTGAAGGTCATATTTGCACCTTTTCTGCTAAAGATTGAATGCAGGGCCGTAACAGTACCATGTTTTTTTATCCCTAGCCCCAAGGGTTCAGTTGAATTTTTGGTACGACACATACGAAGATAATTACTGTACGATTTTATTACGATTTCCATCACAGTTTGCAATAGTGGCACTTATTGGCGTTTGGCATGTCTTAATTCATTTTAAAACTTTCCAATGCTGCTCAGTGATCAATTAGATTTTATGGGTTGGATTCTATTTTTTTTCTGATCTTTGCAACCAATCGCAGCTGTTATAGCCAACTGTTTGTTGACAACTCATTTACATTTTCAAATAGTAAAAGGTGCAAGAAGTGCTACCTGTATTCTCAAATTTTAAAAATAAGAATGCAACATAATAGAGAATGTACTTTCATAGCAGCGAGTATGCACGACCAACACAGTTTATGGTTCCACCTTTGAAATAAAATTCGTCACTAAAAGGATCCCTTTCATGCCCATATTGTTTATTGACTTGGCTCTCCCCAGGACCACATTGTTTGCTCAGTCATGCGGAAATCACTAGAGCGTGAACAAAATGAGCACGAGTCAAAAACTCACTTTTTTCAACCCAGATTTTAACTGCCAAGGAGTGATTAAAGTCATAGGTGTTGTGTGTAAAGTTTGTTCCTTGAACCTTACTCTTTTATGTGATGTAAAAATAAAGTCCATACGTGCAAATATAAGAAAGTTATGCCTTTTTGTTCATCTGGTCCCAATTATCAAACTGCAAGCCATTTCAACACATGACCAAATGGCACTCCATACCTCAAATTGTGCGTGGATACTTCTGAAGCACTTTTCTCGTATTTTTGTAATCGTAACACTATGAATAAACCACACCAATAAAAAGATCCGAAAATACTCTTTCAGCTAGTGTATGGTTGATGTATGGGCGGCCAAACATATCAACATGCCGCCTTTCTGAAAAGTAGTGAATATATCTGTGTTGAGGGTGTTTTGTGTGTGGTTTCCTGGTCGACTAAAGTCGCCCATGGGAACCAGCAGGGGGTACTTCTTGTCGACAAAAGTCGCCCATGGTAAGGAAAGGGTCTATTCATGCACTCAAGTCACACCATGTCTGTGAGTCACACGTACTGTACGAAGTGCGAACAGCGACCTCTCGCGGCTGGTCTACAATGTGCAAATCAGTTGGTGATGGTCGAACGCCTTGTCACTATTCGGTATCGTTGGACTATCTGATAGTAAGATAGCTTACGTTGTATATATATTTTTTCTTTCACATTGTGTTTTGGTTCGTTCCATTCCATTTGCCCTTAGCTTCATTCATTTTCATCTCGCTACACTTTTGAATGTCTTTTTTTTTCCAGTTTCAGTTGATTTATATTATTTTTTACCTATATTTTGCCAAATGATTTTATTCATGATACTTCGTGAATAAAAGAATAGTTTGTCTTTTGTCTTAAATTGTCTTTTAATATTAGAACTTGCGCCGTTAAGGTGGATAGTATACACCATTTTTGAATTGAATTGAATTGAATTGATCTAATTGGGACAATTCGTGCTATTTTTGGCTGAAATTATATCCTGTTATATTTGGTTTGCAGACTCCAAACTTGAGAATGTAGCCACAGCATCCATCTCTCTATGTCAAATATGAGTATCCACGACCATTGAGCATCAGAATATCCATTCAGTCTGAAGATCATGGATTGTAAAAATATGTTGTTTGGACCCCAATGCACGGTCCACCCTCAAAAGAGAGTTTGAAACCCGAACTTAAAGCCGAGATTCCTTAACTCCCAAATAAAAATAAAATACTGACGGTGATCTGTAAGACGTCAGAAAGAAAAAAAAAATTTGCTTTTTCTATCTCACAAATAATGAACATTAGTTTTAAAATACAAGTGTAACAGTTTAATATAATTAAATAGATTGCTTTGTGATCTTATCTTTCTTTTGTTTTTCAATCGAATTGTCTATGATTTCGATTTCGTGCTTTCTTTGTAGCCACTACCTGAAGTGATATTTTACCCTGTATGTTTGGCTAATTCCATAAAAAAAACACTAAAACCTTGCATGATTTGTGGTCTTGGTTGTGTTTTTCGGGCGGTTGAATGTGTGTACCACGTTCGAAGTTCTCGGGGCCAAAAATAATAAATGAAAAGCTGAAACCCCCCCCCCCCCCCTCCTCATCAGACTCAACCCCCCCCCCCCCCCTATCATATTACCCCGCCCACCCCCTCCCCCCCCGTTTCCTGAAAGTTAGATCAGTCCCTGCTGCGACTTGGCTGCAGAATTAATTATTTTGAACAAATATTCGGAGGGAAACAGATTGTACAAAATGTAAAATAGCTCAACATTATACATGATGACAGAGCTTACCTACAAAATAGTTGGAACGGTTGAACGTATTACACTGTTGATGCATTCCACCCCCCAAAAAAAAAAAAAAAAATCCGCCCATAATTACCGGGAATTTTTGTCGGAGGGGTTTATTTTGCAAGAGTGGGGATAACAGTAAGCTTCCGTACCATAAACTGCTGCTAGCAGTAATCATAAGCCAATTTGAGGGAAATATTGCGCCGAAATCCGAATCTCTTGTCTAGGGCTATTGGTCCTCGTCCATTGCAACTACGTTGGAAGAAGTTGACAATAGCCGTAGCCGTAGTTCTAGAAGCCCGGTTCAGGAAACGGCCTTAACCATAACCTATTCCGATCCCCCCCCCCCCCCGCCCGACCTCCTCACCTTAAAGATTTGCAGGTATTGTTTCTTGACATTGGAAAGTAAGGGATAAGTGTTTTTCCTTGTCAATGGAAATGTATTTACTACTATGGAACGCACAAGTAGTATGGTGAAACTTCTGAAGGACTCCCACACGCCCTCTATTGATCTCAAATGCCAAAATATCCGGTAACACATCGACGTCGTATGGCATCGTGTGCGTCCATTTGTCAGGCACCAGGCCATTTTTGTTCGCGCTCTGCTTACGTGCGGCTGTCACAAATAGCGCACACAACTGTACATCACATTCGCAAAGACCTCCGTTCGCTGACTCCAGAATTAGATATCCACGGTACAGCGCGCCCAGCAATCAACTGCCTACGTAGCCATGGCAACGGGAGGACACTGCTCATAAGTCTGGGTAATCGACGTTGGGAAAGGAACAGCCCGTGTACGTGCTGCGAACGTAAGTGCGGCTCCACCATTCGCCTCTGCGTGTTTGTACGTGGATATGTGAAGTGCCCTTGCAACATCGTCCATAACACCATTCTCAATAACGGTAAGTCGCCCACGAAATCCTCTCGTTTAGTGTCTGCATTGACACAAATTCGTAACATTAAACCTGGTGTTACTGATTACAAAGCGTGTTATAATCACAAACAACCTTTTGAATTGTAAGAATGCTCATCAGAATAGTCATGTTGTCAAAGTGTATTTATAGAATGTCATTTATATTTTTGGACTACACTACCCGGCGTCATATTACTCGGAGCGTATAAATGGACTTAACGCACGCACAAAATACCTAGTTGTGAGAAAATAATTGCCACAAAGGACAGAAATATGGTGAGTTTCTCATGATATTTTTGAGGAGATTTCTTCATTACATCAAACAAGTCTAATGTATAATTATCTTGGTTTAACCTCGATCAAGGAACATACTTCTTTTCAACCACCAGTACTTTATTCCATTTGGCACACGTACTAGTAGTAATAAGAAAAAATGTCAAGTGAAATATAACGATAAGATTTAATGGACCATGAATTGGTTTTGTATACAATATTTGGCACAATGAACCCCAGTGACATATTCAAGGCAATATCATAATGAATTGCCAAGTCTAAACCATTGACCTTTTTTTTCTTCTTCTTCTTAGTTTTCTTTTCTATTTATGGGGGTGATTTTTCATGATTAAGAAATGTTTACATGATATCGTTGTTGGAAAGGTGTGTGTGCTCGGATGCCTGAAAACAATTGTTTTTAATGGGCGTTGATATGACGTACGATGCTTTGTAAATACAATTTAATTTGATAGTCTTAGAAATCAAAATGTCAATGGCCAACATTTAATCCTTGTGTATACGCCATGTTTCAATTAATGGTTTAAGACACAGTTTTCTATAAAGGAAAACATAGTGTGACCTTATATAATGATCGAAGATGTGCGCATGCGGGGCTGTGATGTTTTCCTTGCTAGCGAGATTGCGTGCAGGATAAGTGCATTGGTGCGTACAGACTGTCCATCAAGTCCAAATAAACGCCCGTGGTTTCATGGGCAATTTCAGCTGCATCATTAAATTGTCTCGGATCTCTATCAGTATCAGTTGTGCACGCGATAGCATCACTCGGTATTCATCGCAGTGGACTGTAAGACTAGTGGAATTGTTATGGCTTCTTAATTTTATTTTCAGTATAGTATTATTTCAAAGAAGGAGACTTCTGATGAGCATTCTTCAAAGACGAATAATTATATCAAGTTGTTCTTCATTTTTAGTGGGCTTTATTCACGAGTCGGCCATATTAAATTAAAGGCGAGGTAAAAGCTCCATTTTTGGAACTAGCGAACAGAAATGAAAGCAGTGACTTAAATTAAATTACAAATTAATACCAGTCTGCTCTAATGAATATCTTAATATTTGTGATTAACATACCATACTGTTTTAAGCAACATTTTTAAAAAAAAAAAATTGAGAGTGAGGCTAGAATGCAGAAATAGTTTGGCACCATCACATTCAACAATTCACAATTTGACAAATACATTCAGGGAACACGACCAAAATGGCTTCCTCGGGAATAGGGTCCACTGCTTATCTTCTGGCAGATGTATTTTGTTGGTAGCATACACGAAGTAAAAGATACAGGCTTCCAGTAAGCTCGGTGTACATAGTTTTGTCAGAATATAATTACCGATCCCAAGAGAGGCTGTATCCGTTCTTCAATCATTCCCTCACTCAGTTATGTAAAATAAATACACCGTAAAACATTAAAGAAATTGCAAAACCTTAATCTTAAACTTCAAAAAGAAAACACTGCAAAAACTGAGTTAAGCAATTGAATACTTTTCAAATTACTTTCGAGCTATCAGTTTGTAAACATGTTTAAATACTAAACATGTTTAGAGTGATTGATGTTGAGGAATGAACACATAATGTTTAGCTTCTAAACATGTGTACAAAGTGATAGCAAGATTGTGTTTAATTGCTATAAACACATTTTTAGAGTATGTTATTATACGCTACCAAAGAGTAACTGTTTTGGCGACAGACAAGTATTGCGGTAAGACCGTTTGAAACCAATTGGTAAATCACAGTTTAATTATTTTGCTGTTTTGTGGTTCGGTATAATAGAGGGGGAATTAGGACACTTCACTGAATTGTACGCTAGAGTATGTTGCAAAAAACTAAACACTTACATAATATTAACCAATTACCAAATAATACAAAACACAGACAAGAGGTCTTTCCGTACGCCGTCTGCAAACTAAAATTCCAGTGTCGTTTGATTGGGTCGTTCTGCCTTTGCACTTCGAATCCCAAGCACGTTTTATTTGCACTAGGGATCATATGTGCACTTAGGGATGTTGCTCATTAAATATTGACATTTTTGGTCAACAATCGCAGCCGGATGTCAAATTTGCCTTTGGTGGGGATGATTGTCGAAAATGTCTCACCCCGAATTACGCATCTGAAGCAGCTCATAATATTTGAAGAGTTTATTTTAAAAAACGCCATACATCCATTTGGAAAAAGTGAACAATTTGCACGGAAATGAAACTTTAAAGCGTTAGCATAATAACATACAGTATAACAGCTGTTTCTCAACTTCATTTTTAGGTATATGGTATTCTTAAGTCCTGTTTAAGTATAAAACAGCTGTCGAAATTGCTTTTTGGCAGCCAGGAGAGAGTAGGATTCTAAAAGGGAACAAAATGGCGTATATCGCGTTTTGGAAATAAACTCTTCATTTTGTGTGATCAATATCGGTTTGGAAAATGGTGATGAGAAAGCCTTGCCTTTTGTTGGCCTATTTTGTTTGAAAGGGGTTTTTTTTGGTACAAATTGCTTCAACTTATTGAATATAATTGCTTTAAATTGATAGAAACAAAACAAGTGAATGGTATCGTCCACATGCATGCGTTATAAAAAAGTAAGGTTGAAATGCACTATCGATAAGTGATGAACGACTCACCTGAGGAATGCACTGCTCTCTATTCATTTAAGTGTAAATTCCAAACAAAAATAGCGAAGTTGTTTTCTATATCCCCGTAAAAGTGTGGATGAATTTCTTTTTAACAATTGAATGTACGCAACTTTGTTTGATGTATTTCACTCATGTCGCTTTTGCCAGCACTGTCGACAACCGGTCGACCGCAATAGAGTTTCATTCCATGCCCATTTTTTGTTTTAATCGTTTGGATGATAAGAGTTGTTTTTGGTAATTGTTTTAGTATATATTTCTATCGGTTTCATGGGTGAAATGTATTTATTAACAAACTTAATGTAAATCCAAAAAACTTTGGTTTAACCTCGAATTATCTTTTGGGGGGAAAAAGGAGAAAGATTGAAATTGAATTGAAATGCACTTCATGCCGATCGCATGTATATGATAGCAACATAATTGTTTTTCGTCGTGGCCTGCTATCAACCAATCAGATCGTTTTGCTCCAGGATCAAACCAATTATTCTTGGTTGAGCAGACGTAGACGTACCATTATTGACAGTCCAGCATCGCAGAGTCACCAAAAATGAGCAGGTGTTTTTATCTATTGTGAACATCGCAATACAACTTCCTTTTCAAGCTCTCAATAATTTGTTTCTGTTGGACGTGATGTTTTTGACTCTTTACTGATCGAAGGGATCGTTTAAAGTCCTCTGTACATCTGCTCGGTCAGGTGTTAATAAGAACTCTTTGAAAGGTTCTGCTTTATGGACTGAAAAGGCTTTGCAATATTTTGTGAGAGGAGTAAAAGATGTACCGTAAGGATAGACCTTCGCACAGTAATAGTTAACTAATATTCTGAAATATAAGATGTTGCCCGTCATCTAACAAAGCTGCCCGGCACTAAACATAGTTGGTGAAGTACGAATTCATTATTAAAGTGGTGGAGATCATGTACGGCTTAGTAGCTTTAAGAATGACTCCATAATTAGGATGAGATGGAGATAGTGTAAAGTATAAGTGATACGGCTGAGATGAGATGTTTCATGTGAGATGTGAGAACGTTTGCCGTGTAAGAAATGTGTACGCAGGTGTAGACGAGTCCAAGGTTACAAAATGCCTTTCACCAAGTGTTTTATTACGTGGAAGCTTCTATATTTTTCCCACAGGGAGTCAGGTTGGTGTAGCGGTACTTTCCTCGCCTTCCACCGCTGTGATCTGGGTTCGAATCCCGCGTAGGCAAATAAATGTGGTTTGGGTTTTCAGTCGCTACCTGATTCCGTGGCTTTTTGTCAGAATATTCGTCCTCCCACGTTTAAAACGGAAACTTCTTCAAATTGTCTTCTCTTAACTGGACCAAATGGTAGACCAGTGGATTATACTGAATGGGCTACCGTGGCGCACATATGCGAACCTACCGACAACAACTTTCTGATGACCTGCATGAGGATGGTTGGTATTCGCTCGAACCAGCTACACCAAACCATACAAACTGCCAAACAATGGGAAAAAAAATTAACACATTATTATTGTAGTTACTGAGCAACCCCTGTGAGATGCACGCGCACAGACGTCACCAAGATGATGGTCAAATTAAAATAAGAATATCCAAATACAAATTGTCAAAATCGTTTCAAACTTTCGTCGAATTGATTGTTTTATTTCTCTCCCTCAAACACTATATACTTTTACTGTGCCAAACTATTTTTGTATCTAACCACCTTGCTTGTGCAACCTGCTTATCCAAACCCGCATTTGTTCGCTGATGGTCAAGTGTGTGTGTGCAGGTAATGCTTATACGCTCAAGCATTGATCCAGAGTGTTTTCTAAGAATTGATGACTCCTGCGTAGGAGTTTAGGGATGTGCAGGATTGCGTGTGTTGGAGGCTGATCTAATCAGGACTCTAGACATCACAAGGGTGGTACAGATGACTCTCATGTAAACATTTTGACACGTAGGCAAAGCCAGAGTGAGTGTTTCCTAATAAAACAGTTGCCAGTACATGTGAAACCAAGAAAAACAAAGTATAGGAGAAAACTGCCGGAAATTAAAGTACAGCGGCAATTTTAGGAATTGACCGCAGCATAGGCCTATTTATAGGTGTGTGTATGACTTTTAA